AGTGAAGTCACCTGACCTCAGTCAAAATGGCAGTAGTCACGTGTTGTATGGAAAAGCCATTACTTTTTGAGCTGCAGGAGTTTTAAACATAATAACAAGAAAGAGCTAGAGGCGTGATCTGCCTCATTGCCAAATGGCAGGGGTAGTTTGAGGAAAAGCAGAGCCAGAGGGACACCGGCAGAGCATTTACAGGTGGGGGGCTGATATTTTGAGGGTTTATACCGTCTCTGAAAAATGTGAAAAACCATGAAAACAGTGAATGAACACCACAAGGCCTATAGGAAATGTCTTTTCTCTAAAGGTGGGGTGTAAATGAAGTCTGACTGGCTCTGGGTCCAGGTGACTCAGAAACCAAAGGCTAGAGGCCACTCTGAGCCGTCTCTCATAGTGGGGACCACTTATGAGTGATCCGAAAGAAAAGAAAAGAAAAAGGAGAAAGAAAAATTCAAGGGACTCCCAGTCTCCAAATCAAATGCACCACATAGTGTGTGCAGTGCTAGCGTGGGAGGACTGACCCTGGGTCGTCCAATCACATTTTTGAGCTATGGGAAACAACCAGAGATGAATGTCAGCAAAGGGCTCAACCATATCCATGAAGGCTATGGTTGGGAGCTGGAAGGGGAAAACTCACCACCGAAGCCTCTGGTTTGCATAGAGGTCAGTGTTCAGGCAGATAGATGTGCAGAGCTGTTGTAAAGAAACCTGGTTCCCGAGTCCAGCATTCTACATGTCCTCAGCTGGCCCACCTGCAGGTGGGAGGGAACATGGAGAGCCTGGCCCAGTCATGAGCACCAAATGTTACCGTTTAAATAAAACGTTGCAGTTCCCTGAGGGACACAGTGACAGGCCACAAGGGCCAGCGGGTCCCAGGCAGGGAGCCGCACAGTGGGTGAGAGACAGAGAGGGATAGGCATGCCATGCAGAGTTCCCCTTCAAAACTTTATTTAGTTTTGAAGGGGAAAGGGGAAAAGAGCAGAGAGAGAGGGAGAGGGAGAGAGAGGAAGGGGAGAGAGAGGAATTGGAGAGAGGAGAGGAACGACAGCAGCAGTTACCTCTTTGGAAGAGAGATGGAAAATAAAAAAACTCTGGCTAAAAATGGAAGAAAGATCTGCTTGCCTCAGCCAGTGGGGGAGGAGTGGGTGGGACTTGTCTCTTAAAGGGACAGGACACACCATTACAGAAAGTAAATCAGCTCCATCTCTGGAAAGATTTGATGGGGTTTTGTTTTGTTCTTTTTTAATGTTTCTGATATCCTGATAGTTTATTTTCCCAGTATCTCTATAATGATAAACTTTAGTTACCTTGTTTTAGAAGACTTTATAGTAAGATTAGTCCATCAGTCACCAGATGCTATATAACAAAACTAACGTGGTTCATTTAATTTTAGTCAAATTTAGTAAAAATGATCTTGTATTTTGCTATGAGTTTTTCAAAAGTATTACCTTAAAAATTACTATCAAAATTTTTATTTCCAGTGCATCTTAATGATGATAACAGTCTTAGAGTCGTTAGTTTCATTTTAAAGTAATATAATTGTTAATGATTTCACTAATAGTAGGTAAGAGCTATATTTATTTCCGGTCAAAATAGAAATGCACAGTCAGAGAAGTTTTAGTATATAAAATTTTCAGCATAATGTCTCATTATCTTATTTTTATAATAAAATAGTAGATGTTTAAACTCTTACTATAGAGTAGATACTGTCAGCAGTTAAGGATCTGGTTTTGTTTTCTTTCTTTGGTCAGCAGTCTACCGTGAAACAGGCTGTGTGTCTAAGACTGTAATCCTTGTTATTGCATTAGTCAGTTTGAGTTCTTTATTTTCTCTGTTAAATTAACTTTGCAATAATATCAACCAAGAAAGGACTATAGACAAGAACTTCTGACAGTGTCTTTCCAGAGCAAACCTTCACAGACTGTAGCACTCTCCAGCTCCAGGTTTCTACTTAAACACTGTAACACTGCTTGTCTGTGGGCTGGTGTTACTGGGAGAGAGGGAAAGAGATCTTCCAGGCATCTTAGCTACTTACCTTTGTCTCTTGGTTCCTACTGTTCATCCCACTGATGGAGAATAAGACAACTACTACAGTTTAAAGCCATATTTGAAGCAAACTTTAAATATGGCCAGGTGGATGGGTTCTATCTAGGTCCATACCCAGTTTCCCAAGAAATGGCCCAGAATCAAGTATTACAAGGGCTTAAGAAGGAAAACCTTCATTGCCTCTTCCATCAGGTCCAGTCAAGGGCAATATCCTGACATATTTTCTACATCTGTACTTCCTGACCGTGCCCACCTGGGTCAAATAGCCTCCAGCATTTCAGGAACTATCTGTCCTTGGGCAAGGGACTTGCAAATCAGAGGAGGCATTTTTGTTTCATGAATCTCTAAGGCACAGTAGTTAAAACTTAAAACAGGACTCTCACATTGCGTGAGTGTCCTGTTTATCCACCCATCAACTACCTTCTCTGATACTAAGGTTTATTGCTGATGCTGACCTCCACCTATAGGCAGCTTCCAGGGCTTTCCTGACTTCATAGAGAAAATGATGGCCTCACTTCCCCAGGCTACCCTGGTGTCCTGGAGGATTCTTTTCCTCCTCTCTGATGAAGAATGTAAAACATGCAAGGCTGTTGTTAAAGTTAAGTAGTTAACTGTAACTCTTAGGTATTGAAAGCAGGTCAGTTGCGGTGTTTACAGATTAGTTTGGGCAGTGTTGTAGTCGCTGTGGGGAGACACTGCTTTATGTGCTTCTCGGGGCTCCTTTCCATCATGTTCTGTATGGACTACCTTTTGTGTTTAATTAGAAAAATTTGGATTACTAGTTGAATTATTTACACTTTCATCTATAACACCCACCTTAAAAAAAAAAGCCAGGCATGGTGACATTCATACCTGTAATCCCAGAACTCAGGAAGTGGAAACAGGAAAAACTGGGGCTTGCTCAGCCAGTCTAGGTGTATTGGGAGTCCTAGGTCCTGTGAGAGAGAATGTTTCTGGCCACTACATTCACGCACATACACACCAAAGCAGGGGCAGGATTGAGTATTTTCTACTGCTAATGCATTAAGACTGAATAATTTTAGTTGAATCTGTTAATCTTCTGTCTTTTGATAAAAGTCTGGGCGATAGTGTCTTTGACTGTGAGATTCATAGAGGGATGAATCCTTTTTACATCAATGAATTTAGCTTCGAATAACATTTTTTCTTCCTTAGTGACTGGGAACTTTGCCAAAGCACCTTGAACATGAGGAGTCTATGGATAAATGTAGTCCAAGTGTTGTAGGAAGAAAGTGGCCTGTGCAAACCATGGAGCCAGCTTCCCGGGTGGCAAAGCCTGCCCACTAGTTACAATAAACCCTGTGATTCCTTGAGGGGCCCTGGGTGACAAGGGGCACAGCACTAGTTACAATGCTGAAAATAAACCCTGTGGTTCCCCGAGGGGCCCCTGGGCCACAAGGGGCACTGGATTCCAGGCAGGGAGCCATGCAGCGGGTGAGAGACCTCGGTAGGGCAGCCAGTCCCATGAGGAGCCACAGCCTTGGCGGGTGAGAGACAGAAGGATAGGCATGCCTACAGAGTGAGGTTGGATATTTATTTAGTGGGTTATGGAAAGAAAGGGGATGGGGAGAAGGGAGAAGAGCAGAGAGAAGGGGAAGGGGAGAGGAGTGGGGAGAATGGAGAAGAGCAGAGAGAAGCAGAGAGAGAGAGCAAGAAAACCAGAGAGAAGGGGAAGGGGAGAGGAGTGAGGAGAAGGGAGAGAGGAAGAAGCTGCTTCTTTGAGAAAGAGAGATGGAAAGGAAGAGACTTGGGCTGCAAGCAAGAAGAAAGACCTTCCTGCCTCAGCTGATGGGGGGAGTGGGCGGGGCTTTCTCTTAAAGGGACAGGACAGACCATTACACTAGTGATGTTTCAAAGGCCTTTTTATAATGTCCTGTACTTGCCAACTCCTCCAAGCATTGTGTTCTTCCCTATTTCAGTAAAAGGATTATGTTATTAAGGTTTTAAAATAATGTATAAGTAATATGCATTTTTTAATTTATTGCCAATGTAGCACATATATTATTCATACATTTCTATTTAACTAACTGTTGTTTTTTATGGTATTATCTGTTTTGAATGCGGGCAAGGGCAGTACATGCACTTGTGGAAGCCTGAGGTCAACACGGGGTATCTTCCTCTATTGCTCTCCACTTTAGCCTTTGAGGCAAAGTCTCCTCTGGAAACTAGGTGAATGAACAAATAGAAATAAAAAAGGAAGGCCATGACTGTGCCTAGGTCTGGTGGAGGAGGAGGTTTATGGTAAAAGAGAGAGCATAGCCAGAGACAGGGATCTGGGGAAGCCCAGAGTGAACATGGCAGTGATGAGGACATGAGGAAAGGGATGAGGGAAAGGGGACAGACAGCCAAGGGTTCAGGAAAGTAAAGGACACACAAAAAGGCCAGGTAACAAAAATGTCTGGATTACATAGGGGAGAGCCTCTGGGGGAGGGACAGCCTAGCCCCTGGGCTGGAGAGTTCAGAGTAGAGGGTGGAGGCTACCAGCCATGCCCTGTAACAGTTCGGAGGGATGCTGGGAAAATCTGGTGGCCAAGTTCACTTTGATATGTTGAAATGACACCCCAGTTAGCCATTTATTCCGGGTTTGAGACCTAACACTGAGGTTTATCAATTAGCTGACTAATCAATTAGGACTGGCTGGCCTGCGGCAACTTGGGGTTCTCTGGTCTTTATCCCTAGCATGGGAATGGCAGGCATGTGCTGCCATGTCTGACTTTTTACACGCATGCTGGGAATCTGAACTCAAGTCCTCATGTTAGCTTGGGAAACACTTAGCCCACTGAGCCACCTCCCTAGCTCCTGGTGTCTGCTTTTTAAATCATTGGTACCTTTTATAATTCTATGCATTTTTTTGTAATCCTCTGCTTTGTACGTCCATTTAAAATTTTCTCAGAAATTGTAGGGATCTTGTGCTTTTTCTCATAAGTTCTCTCCTTTTGCAGCATCAGCCACTATGTGATTGTCATGTGTATCACCATCTTTCTGGTATTTCTTAATGGCCTGGCACAATTGCTCACAACAAAGAAACTCCAATTGTATGGCAAATCCAAAAGGCATCTCCTGTGACATTAATAAAACCATCAGTGAACATCTGCATCCTGAGTCTCCTTAAAGAAAAATCCCACCAAGGAATCAAGAAGATGGATATTGGACCAGAGAGATGGCTCAGTGGGTAAAAGTACTTGTTGCACAAGGCTGACAATATGAGTTTTATCCCTGGAATCCACGGTGGAAGGAGAAAAAAGCTCCCAGAAGTTGTCCTTTGGCCTCCATGTGCATGCTACATAGAATAACAGGTTTCTGTAGGACATTGCCAAGAAGCTTCTTTTCTCTCCAGGTTTTGCAGGATTGAAATAATGATTATATCTTAGAACAGTATAAAGTATCCTTCATTTTCTTTTTTTTTTTTCTTATTTTATCTGGCACTTTTCTTGCAGTAATGTTTGAGAACACCTGCCGCACTTTGCTCCTCACGGTGCAACTTCACAGACACCCAGAGGGGCTCGTGCCCCTGTGCGGTGGTACTGACACTCTCCAAAGTCATCACAGTGGAGGGACTGAATGGAAATCACCTGTTAGAACATAGACAGCTGTCAGCCCCAGCACTGGGCTGCTTTTGTGGGAGCTTTGACTGCCTGAGCATGAGCTGAGTAAGACACGTGGGGCTGCAGTCTGGGGCTTTCTGAACCGCAGTGGAAAGCTCTCTGCTCAGCTTTGCCCTGTGTGTGTCCTCACTAAGTTGGCCTCTCTGTGCTGCTTCCAGGACTCTCACAGCCAAGAGCTTGATGAAGCTCCATCTTTACCTTCTGTCCATTCCTGGGTCACCTTGGGATTTCTGTGCACTCTATGGCTTTGTTGGTTATTGTTTCAATGTCAGTCCCCAAATCAAAGGCTGTAGTTTCATGACAGTATCATAAAGACTCAAATTTAAGTTGATACTCTTTTTTTAGTCTTGATATTTTAACAAGACCAAAGACCTTCAGCCATCGCACTAGATTTAACTTTGCCTCTGTGTATTCTAATAAATGAGGTAATTTGAGAGTAATTTTTATTTGGGTTTCCCATACAGGACCTATATTGTAGGGTGTCTATAGAATTCTGTTTAGTGCTTGGGTCATATTTTGCTGGTATGAACCACATTTTGAAAAACAACTGCTTTTGATTCAAGTTATACTATTACTAGTCTGCTATCATGAGCAGAAAGCTCTCTACAAATTACTAAATTTTTCAAATTGGAAGGTGAGCAAGCATAATTTAGAAAAGTAAGCTCAGCTGAGCAAAATATTCTTCCATTTCTACTTATGATAAAGTCATAATTTATTTGCCTCCTGATATGTCAGTGAATGCTTTATAGTATATTGAGAGAAAAGTGCTGGTCCTAATGGAGGCTGTAGCATCACTGTGTAGCAGTCTAGTTGGCAGCTAAGGAGCTGCAGCAGCAGTGCTAACACTGCCTTCCTAGACCCTCAGGTAACTTCTCATCCCACTGTGTAAACACTTTCCATTTACCTTTGTGAAATTTGATTTGCTTTCCTCTTCTGCAGAGGAATTAATGCATTGTTAAAGGTTTATTTTAAGTGTGTGCACACACATGCATACACATGTGAACACAAGTGTCCTCAGAGTCTGTAAGAGGGTGTTGGATCCTTGAAGCTGTAGTTACAGGTTGTGAGATACCTCAGATGGGTGCTGGGAACCAAACTCAGGTCCTTTACAGATACTTTTACCTTCAATATGTTAATATACCTAAGATAGCTAAGAATATGTGATCAGTGTTTTAATAGTCACTATACTTGCTGAAGATAAGTACTATCTTCCAAGTTTGAAACAAGAAAAATAAAATTCATTTTCTTTATGTGTCTTAGTTTACTTTTGCCCTATCCTAGAAATTATTGTAATTTTCTGTAGCTTATAAAATAGACATTTCTTGTACCACTTCAGCCGGGTGATTGAGGTTAGCAGCAAGAGTGAAAGCTGTGCTGACAGTATGTACACTGGGTGTGCCGTGAAGAGAGTGACACCCTCCTCTTGACCATTCACTACCCCTGTTCCCATGAGAAAAAATGCACATGTCTCAATTCAGGAAGAGCTACAAAATATTCTACAAAAACCATATGGGTAATCCTCAAAACTGTCAAGGTCATTCATCAAAAATGAGAAAAGCCTAAGAAGCTGCCAGCAGCAGGAACAGTCTAAGGAGACATGACTACTAAATGTTCTCCCCAGTAGGATGCTGAAGTGGGGCTAGCTAAGGAAGTCTAATACAGCGTGGATGTCAGTACTTCATTAACTATGAAAATACACCTACTGATGAGGTGTTAAAGTGGAAGCTGAGTAAGAGACTCTGAGAGCTCTACCATCTTGCGAATATTTCAGGAAACTTTGAAAATAAAAATATTACTTGTTTTTAAATTTCTGTTCTCTTCAAAAATAGCTGTACATAAATGCATGTGGCCCATTAGATGATGGGGTGGGGGAAAGCAACGTGTTCTGTTGTTTCTCTCGTTTCCTATTTCTCCCTGCCCTTGTTTCGCGTCTCTTCAGCTCCCATCACTCAGGCCTCTTTGTCATTTGAGTACTGACTCAGCATGTATACTAATGTGGTTTCTTCATGACTATCTGTATAAATTAGTATAAAGTGTGATTGTGCAGTGGGCAGCTGAGCTCTTGCTCAGCATTCTCTTCTGGGGGCAGCTGTGGCCTACCTCAGCCTGGGGCCTGTAGGAATTATATGGATTGCTTTGTTTGTCTCTCCCCTTACAGTTGACTGATTTACTAGTGCACATCTGACTCAGGTCAGGTCAATTTGAGTCATTTGCAAGATGTTGAAGCTTAAATGATGAAATTGTGTGATGGGTGTGAGTGTGTTCATGTATATGTCTGTGCATCCAAGAATTCATGAAGGTCAAAGGTCAACTTTGGATGTCTTTCCTCAGGATCTGCTGACCTTATTTCTTGAGACAGGGTCTCTCATTGGCCTGAACTTACCTACTAGGCTAGGCTGTCTGGCTGCTGAACACATGGGTATTGTGGATCCAGTTCAGGTCCTTATGCTTGTGTGACAAACACTTTATAAATCAAACCATCTGTCTTCCTAGCTCCTTGGAACTGAGAAAATTTCAAATATAAAAACTGAATCATTAGAACCGCTGGAGCCAGGTAAGACTTGAGGAGGCCAGCCTGAATTCCAGGCTTCCAGAAGAATGTCTCAAATGCCAAATGTCTTCTCTCATTCAGGTCCTAGACTTCAGTTTTTATATTTATGTATAGGAATGAATAAGATATAGGCCATGAAACTATAAAGGGGATCATTAAAGGAGAAAAGGTCTTGGGTTGGGAAAGGGATAAAGGGCAATAGGATACATGTAACAGCAGAATTGGGGTAACTAGAGAGGGAAAAGAGTAAGAGGACCATCTTGTGGGCACAGGAAGAAATGGTGGGGGGGGCGAGAATCAGCAAAAATAAAGATGTATAAAAATGTTGTAATGAAATCCAATAAAAAGCTCTGGAAATCCCATGTCCCTCCCCCACCCACTGCAGCACTAACAACTGGGCAACAACCCCCCCAACCATCCCCCACAACATCAGTGACCATTGGAGCTACAGACCTCATCTGTACTAACTGGCAGAAGAGATGAGTGAGCTCCCAGCTGGACAGGCCTGCTCTGTAGGTCAAAGACTCCCCCACCTCATGTGCCCCTCCCCCTCCCACCACAGCCCCAGCAACCAAGTAGCAACATCTGCCCCCACCAACCATCTCTCATTGAGCAACCCGCAGGCCTCAGTTTCACTGACTGGAAGAAGAGGGACCCCCCCCCCAAAGGCACATGCTCCACCTGCACTGATGGAGGAAGAGATGGGTAGTAGCAATATAAGAATACACTCAAAAACATAAAAAGCAATATGGCACCATCAGAAACTAGTGGTTCTGCAACAGCAAGACCTGAACATCCCAACACAGATGAAGCAGAAGAAAACAACATTAAAAATAGCTTTATGAAGATGATAGAGGCCTGTAGGTCCATATTTCTATATGGTGTGGCAGCCAGGCTCTGAAACCATAGGGCCCACCTGAGGTGGTCACGTAGCCCTGCAGACAGGCTGTCACTGCCCCAACTTTTGCAGGGCTTAGTTTGGTGCTATACAATTTCCCCAGCTGTCAGTTCAGAATCTGTGAGCTCCCACTAGTTCAGGTCAGTTGTTTCTGTGGGTTTCCCCTTCATGATCTTGATCATATTGCTCATATGATTATAGATGATTTCAATAAACTATTCTCACACTAGGTCAGAATGGAGTATAATAAGGGTTCTTTATTTAGGGGTAGACTCACAGATCAACAGTCCTCTGCATGAGCTGAGAACAGGAACCGATTCAGCAGGCAAGAGGAGCTGTGCAAGCTTTATGTCTGCATTTATAATACAAGAGAACACACCCAAGTGGGCTGGTGTCTTAAAGGCTATTGGCTGAAGGAGTTCCCACAGAATTTCCCTCTTTTGTCTAAATAAGAGAGTTCCAAACCCAATACAAAACTATATACAATAAGGATAAATATCAAGTATAAAAATTAGAATTACAACCAGCATAAACAATATCAAGCAAGAAACATATGCTAAATATTTCAATAATTATCTTATCCTAAGGACTCTAAGTCTTGTATTAGGAAAGACTTGGCGAAATTGCAAGAGCAAAGTAACTACAACTATGTAGTCTTCAACCCCCCATCGTAGACCTGAGAAGGGAGATAATATTACTTGAGTCAACAGGAAGTGCAATCAAACAACTTCCAAAATGTGCAATAAATGACAAGAGACAACAGGCTACCTGGGCAGTTACTCAAAGTCTCATTTGCAACGTTGGAGCAACCCACTTTGACTAAGGCCTAGAGTAACTGACAGACCATTTTCAGAGGCAAGAAATTTTTCAAAACTGTTTTACCCTGTCTGGGAAGGTTTGGGAGTCTTTTTTCTTGTATCCTGCTTGTCCAGTCCAGACGCAGGCGGGGAAAGTGTGTGAAGACCCAGACAACTGCCAAGTAGCTGCATGGCAGGCCTGCCAAAGGAGTAGTGGGGGGGTTGGCAAAAAAGAAAAAAAAAACCAAACTCTTAGTAGGTAAAATCCAGCCAGGCATGTCGTGTGGAAAATCTGGACTTCAGACCTTTTGGACTGGTCCTGGTAGGCGTGAAGTCAGAATCCACGTGGGGTCGCCACATGTAGATGATTATAACAAAGTATTCCCATACTAGCTCCGAATGGAGTATAATAAAGGGTTCTTTATTTAGGGTAGACTCACAGATCCTCTGCATGAGCGGGGAATAGAAACTGAATCCAGCAGCCAAGAGGCTGCACATGTATCTACATTTGTTTATATAGTACATGTGGCCATGTATCTTGAAGGCTATTGGCTGAAGGAGTTCCCACAGCAGGGAGGACTAAGAGCTTGCCAGTGGGCTGAAAGTAAGTCGCTTAGGATGGAGATGAAAAGAAGGGACTGTGTGATCTAAAAAAGTAAAGGAATCATCAGGTTTGCTCTTGATAACTATAAGGAGTTATTTTTTCCTTGGTTGGCTTGTGCCATGTGGTCACTTTTAATCAAGATGGAAATGAAATCGCATGGCAAAATCCATTCTTTCCAACTCTAGTAAAGATGACTGTCAGTGATGTGGCTATTCCATTCCAATGTGGTGAAAGCAGCTAAGAGGGCAACAAGCCACACATTCCTTTAAGATTACCTATGTATAGATTTTTAACTATCAACCCTCATGTTATGAGTTTTAAATTAACCCTTTTGTTATGAGGTGCAGAAAGTTTGCACAGTAGTCTTACAAATTTTTAGATAAGATGTACATGTTAGCAAAAATTTTAGAGAGTTACACCAAAACCAAAAGCGTATAAGATGAGTAGCAATAGTACCCACTGGGGAAAAAAATCTGTCCCTTTTTTTGTTTTGCTCTCCTTTTTCTTTCACATACTCAGGTGGCTCATCTGATTTGGGATAGAGATTTTGAAGGAAATCTTTAAACAAGCTTGCCTGGATCTAGAAGAAGGAGAGCCATACCCCAACTCCAGAGCCAACTTTTATTAGAAGTGGAACAGCATAAAATAATTTAATGCCACTCATAACTACAAGAGAGTTGAGTCCTTATAATGCTGGATCCAGTAAGCTGAGAACAAATCTGACTTAGAGACAGGACATATTTGAGCCATGGTTATAGACAGAGAAGTGCAGGAGAGAGCTGAGAGAAGCAACAACCAGCAAAGAGTGTGTGTTAAGTGTGTGCATACTGCAGCTGGCCTAACTCTTTGCTTCTCCCACTCCTGCTAGGCCCTGTTCTGGCTCCCACTTTGCAACAAACTTATACCATCAATGGTAATCTAAAAGAAAGGACATTTGCACAGTGTGGGGGGGCAGACTAACAAAAACAAACAAGACTTGGAATAGAGAAAGGGAGGCTTGAACATAGGGAATGGGGAATTTCCATTTCCCACATCTCTGGGAATATTTGTAAAGGTCCTGAATAATATTGGGATCTAGGATGCTATTAGGCAGCCATTTAGAGCCATTTCAATATCTAAGGGATATTAAAACCAAAATTTGATTGCAAAAGCAAGTGAATTTAGGGCTCTGCAGTCTGGGTGCCAGTTGTAGAGGCTGCAGATTTTCTAAGATTCATCCTAAGGGGGAATGAGAGAGTCTGGAAGACACTATTCCCATGGGTGAGAAGTGAGAAAGAAGGAAAATATCACTGCAACCTGTGGGTGTGGGCATCCCAGGACTCAGGGAGTACTGGAGGAATACACAAGCCATCCAATGGATCATTAACGCACTCAGTGGGGGTCAGAGGAGAGTCCTGACA